ATGAACATAAGGGAAGAGAAGCCAAAATAATATAGAAGCAGGGAGGGGGACAAAACATAAGAGACTCTTAGATATGGAGAACAAATGGATGGTTGCTGTAGGGGGTGTGGGAGGGGGAATGGGCTAAATTGGTAAGAGGCATTAAGGAATCTACTCCTGAAATCATTGTTGCACTATATGCTAACTAACTTGGATGTAAATTAAAAAGATTAATAAACTATTAAAAAAAAGAAAACAGAAAGTGAAGGGTAAAAATCCTATGATCATCTCAATAGATGCAGAAAAAGCATTTAATAAAACTAAGCATCCATTTGTAAAAAAAAAAAAAAAACTCTCAACAAAGTGGTTATAGAGGGAACCTATATCAACATAATAAAGCCTTTATATGACATGCCCACTGCTAACATCATACTTAACGGTGAAAAGCTTAAAGCTTTTCCTCTACAATAAGGATTAAGACAAGATGCCCACTCTTGACAATTTTGTTCTGCATAATACAGGCATACCACAGAGATATTGTGGAATGATTACAGGTCACCACAATAATGTAAATAAAGTCAATTGAATTTTTTAGTTTCAGTGCATGTAAAAGTTATGTTTATATTATACTGTGGTCTATTAAATATGTAATAGCATTATGTCTAAAATAATGTGCATACCTTAATTAAAAATATTGCTGGGGTGCCTGGGTGGCTCAGTCGGATAGGCGTCTGACCAGCTCAGGTCATGATCTCACGGTTCATGAGTATGAGCCCTACATCGGGCTCTCTGCTGTCAGTACAGAGCCCATTTAGGTAAATCTGTCCCCCTCTCTCTCTGCCCATCTTCTGCTTGTGCTCTCCTTTCACTCTCACTTTCTCTCTCTCTCTCTCTCTCTCTCTCTCTCAAAAATAAACATTTGAAAAATACTTTACTGCCAAAAAAATGCTAATCATCATCTGAACTTTCAGTGAGTTGCATTTTTGCTCGTAGAGGGTCTTGTATCAATGTTGATGGCTGCTGACTGATCAGGATGTTGGTTATTGAATGTTGGAGTGGCTGTGTCAATTTCTTAAAATAAGATAACAGTGAAGTTTGCCACATCGATTGACTTTTCTCCCGAATGATTTCTCTGTAGCATGAGATGTGTTTGATAACATTTTACCCATAGTATAACTTCTTTCAGAATTAGAGTCAATCCTCTCAAACTCTGCTGCTGCTTTATCAACTAGATTTATGAAATATTTTAAGTCCTTCATTCTCATTTCAGCAATCTTCACGGTATCTGCACCAGGAGTAGATTTCATCTTGAGAAAACACTTTCTTTGCTCATCCATAGGAAGCAACTTCTCATCCATTCAAGTTTTATCATAAGATCACACTGATTCAGTTTCATCTTCTGGCCCTACTTTAATTTAATTCTAGTTCTCTTGTTATATCTACCACATCTGCATTCACTTCCTTCACTGAATCTTGAAACCCTCAAAGTCATCTATGAGAGTTGTAATCAACTTCTTCCAAACTCCTGTTAATATTGGCATTTTGACTTCTTCCCATCAATCATGAATGTTTTTTTGTTTTTTTTTTAAATTTTTTTTTCAACGTTTATTTATTTTGGGGACAGAGAGAGACAGAGCATGAACGGGGGAGGGGCAGAGAGAGAGGGAGACACAGAATCGGAAACAGGCTCCAGGCTCCGAGGCATCAGCCCAGAGCCTGACGCGGGGCTCGAACTCACAGACCGCGAGATCCTGACCTGGCTGAAGTCGGACGCTTAACCGACTGCGCCACCCAAGCGCCCCAATCATGAATGTTTTTAATGATCTAAAATGGTGAATACTTTCCAGAAAGTTTTCTATTTTCCCATATCCATCAGAGGAAACACTATCTATGACAGCTATGGTTTTACAAAATGTATCTCTTAAATAAGACTCGAAAGTCAAAATTACTCCTTGATTCATGGGCTACAGAATGGATATTGTTTTAGCAGGCATGAAAATAACATAATCTCATTGTGCATTTTCATCAGAGCTCTTGGTTGACCAGGTACATTGTCAATAAGCTGTAATATTTTATTTTTTTTATTTATATA